ATTTCTGAAGGCTAACACCCTTGTCATGCATCTCATGGAAACTTCCCCTGAAAGATGCTTTAAGGAAAAGGCAGGATATAAATCAAAGAAAGAAAGAAAATTCCATCAGTTTTATAAAGTCAATTGAACATTTGATTGTTAGCCCAGGGTACTTAACAGGATTTTTATTATACCACAGATGATACAGGCCATGAGATGTCAGCTATTTTCAAAATAGAATTGTTTAGACTCAGATCATCATATAGCTGAATCTTTCATATTTTACACCAATATAAGTACCTAACCAAGGGCTGACTCTGCTTGGATTCCAAGCCCAGATAAGTACCTTTGGGATATTTAAGGCTCAAGACACAGGATTTCTGTACTTGTGTTCCCTCTAGTTGTGCTATGTCACCCAACTTAAGAACAGACATGACACTGGGCAGCAGATTGCTCTGTAGTGTTGCACTGAGTACATACTTGGGGCGGGAAAAGTATTGAAGCATTATAGGACGTGAAATATTCAAGGACTCCTCATAGTATCTGAGAACATAAAGAGACAAATAGGTTGAGTGTTCAGATCTTAATCCTGGAACATAATAAACACTTAAACTTTCTAGAAGTAGCTCCATCCTCCCCCACTCCCCACCCCCCACCCCTTTGCAAGCAGCAGTCAAACCCTGAAGGGGTGGTACTATGGCTAATTGTTCTAGAGGGAGAATTGGGAACAAGAGAGGCAACTGAGTAGTTGGACAGCTCCCTGTCCCCCTGCAGTTCACCAGAGATGTCTGGGAACAACAGTGTGGTGCCTCAGTCTATGTTCAGCAACTGCAGGGAGATACAAATCTTTCCCAGCTACACAATTATCTTCCTCCCTCTCCTTCCATGCAACAGTGGCCCCAGGGGAAAGAGTGACAGCCAAGAACAGCCTCTTGTGTCCCATCCAAAAAAAGAACATAGACTAAAATATGGATGTGGATCTTCAGCTGAACAATATGGAATAAATGTGTCTGAGAGACTAGTAGTCCTCAAGTATGTTTTGGGCGTGTATTACTGGACTTGTTTTTTGTTTTGTTTTGTTTTGTTGTGTTTTTACAATATTGAGTTACTTTACAATTGAGCTGCCTTAAAGTTATGAAAAAGAATGTTTCTGTATTACGCATTGAAAAATGGTATGCCTTTGGTCATCCATTAGCTTTAAACCATGTCTCAAATATGTCATAGTTGGAATCATTTCCTACATTGCTAATAAATAAATTCCAAACAAATATTTAGAGTTGAACCTATTTAGATAATTCCATTCGAAAATGCAACCAGCAAACCAATATCAACAAGTTTCAAATCCTGGAGGGAATATCTTAGTTCTACTATGATTCTGGAGATCAGAGTTTGAATCTCTGCTCAGCCATGGAGACCTTAGGCAAGTAACAGCCTCAAAGGAAGGCAAAGGCAAACATCTGAACAAATCTTGTCAATAAAGGCCCATGATAGATTCACTTTTAGGTTGCCATGGCTTGAAGGCACACAACAACAAAGCCTTATAGTTGGTAGTGAAGGAAATGAATAAAATGGGATATTAAAATGAGAATCTTGTGATTTTTCCATTCCTTCTGAAATAGTGACTCTTTTCTAGAAAGATCTTGTGCATTTCTTACATTTCTCATAGCTATATGAGTAGCTACTTATTAGCATAAGATGGTGTGGTACATCGTACAGGCCTTATCTAAGGACAAATCTGCTATTGCTACCCGGTTAACTATGAAATTATGGCTTGTTCTTTTCGGTTATGAAGCTGTAAGCTGGATCTTTTAAATGCCAGGGATTCATTTTTATGGTAATTGATTACCAGCCTCCAGCCCTAGTACCCACCTTTTCAGTGGCAGTGCCCTAACCTATGAGTTTCCAAAGCAATGCAGATTGAGGCACTGGAAAATGTCGTCATCAACGTTCTTCCAATTTCAGGGTACCTTGAGGCAGCAGTTGCAACAGGACTCAGTTATTTCCTGTGATCAGTCCTTGAAATACCCTGTGATTGGGAGAAGACTAATTTTCCAGTGCCCCAATCTTCAGTGCCTCAGAAATCCCTCTCTTGGGGTGCTGCCATGTTCAAAATGTGGTTTGTCAAGGAAATGATATCACCAGGTATAACTATGACCAAAATAAAATCCTTGCCATAAATAAGTCTAGCCATGTAGGCTCTCAATAAGTCTTTTAGTTCCATGTCAAAGGCTTTCATGGCTGGAATCACGGTTGCTGTGAGTTTTCCAGGCTGTATGGCCTGAGTCCCCCTTCGGTGGTAGAGAAGGGCGGGGTACAAATATTTGAAATAAATAAATAAAATAAACGAAACATCAGGAGAAAATGCTTCTGGAACATGGCCTTGCAGCCCAGAAAACTCACTGCAACCCAGTCTTTTAGTTATTTATTAAAATTAAGGGGTTGAGATAAAATGCCATCTATGGCTTTCTTTTTTTTAAAAAAAAAAAAGTGAAATGCATTTATCATTCTGCAGCATTTGCCCCAAACAAAAAAAAATAATTGTTTCAATTTTTCACTTCATCTGCCACTCCCTAATCAATTTAATTTTTTGTTAGTTTGGATCCACATTCCATCAGTATTTGGAAAGTAAACGAGGACACCACCATTCCAATATATTAGCGATGAACAAAACAGCATCTTAAAATTTCCTCTGAGTATTTCTTTTCCTCTTTGCTCCTGTTTTTCAACTGTGCTGCCTATGTTTGTGTCACCTGTTTGTGCTTTGTTTTCCTGCTGGTTTACATCATTTTTATTCTACTATTGATTCTATTCTCACTTTTTTCTCTATTATTTATTTATTTATTTATTTGCTTCATTTTTATACCGCATTTTTCAGCCCTTAACAGGCGACTCAATGCGGTTTGGCTATCCAATGAAACAAATACACAGGAAAATTGATATCAAGAGCTTTTAAAATATAATTGTAAAACTGACAATTGAAAGAAGAATTATCCATTTTCAATACTGCACTTTTGTGACTCACTAGGGCCCAAGTAGAAAAAGTAATACAAGTTTGCACTTTTAAAGGTACAGTTCTTTACCCATAAAATGTGTCTATGCATAGCTACTTTTTTACTTCATCTGGACTATACAGTAATAATAAACTTCCATGCTTGGGAAAGCATAATAAACTAGAGAAACAGGTGGGTCCTGGTGGAATGAATAAATTATTGGCTTCACAGACTAATATGCTAGCAGCACTTAATAAACTGTAACATTGAGAAGCATGACTTTAGAGAGCACTGGAAAACTTGCCTGGTCTTTTAAGTTTTTTAACCTCCAACACACTCTTCTTTCCTCATTTATGCTTAAGATCTAGCTCAGTTCCCAATCTTTTTTGACCAGGGACCACTTTAACCAGGGACCACTCTCCAACATTAGTATCAAAAGGGTTATGAATCCGTTTTTGGTTAACTGTAGATTCGGTTTGGTTATTTGGGGTGCTGATTCAGAAAATTGCATTGGATAGACCACATCTCTGGTTTCTATTACAGAACATATGCTATCCAATAGTTGCCATCTGCTTACCCACAAAAAACCATATTTAATAATCTAGACTGACATGGTCTATCCATTGCAATTTTCTGAATCGGCATCCCAAATAACCCCAGGAACAGGCATAAAAACAAAGACATCAAGGCGCCCCTGCTTCCAGGTGCGACATGGAACAGCTTCACTTGGGGGTGGGGGGGGAGGAAAAGCAGCAAGAGGCTTGTTGTCACGCCTTTCCTGGGTAGTCAGCCTCTCCCCGACATCTTCGTTGCCTTGGCATTATAGGAAGGTTTTGCAAGACCAGTCACTCTTGTTGCAACGGTGTAGTAACGCAGACCATATTTTAGTTCTTGTGGTCCATGGACCACAGGTTGGGAACCACTGATCTTGCTGAACAAGCCCACACTGTGACATTTTCAGTTAGGGTGGAAATCATATACCCTTCCTGATATTGTTGGACTTCAACTCCCAACATTCCTTTCCATTGGTATCTGGAAGGGGTCATAATTCCCAGCCATTTTAAGCAGTTTGCCCAATAAAAGGCATTACATTTCCAACCAATGCTACTCAACATTTAGTTCTCCCAGCTATTTGGGATTTCAACTCCCAGAAGCTCCAGCCACCTTGGTCAAACTTTTAGAATATTCTGGGACATATGATACAAGCCTGTGTGTATAGAAGGTATTTATTTATTTATTTATTTAGAGTTTTTATAACCCGGTCTTCTCGACCTCTGAAGAGGGACTCAGGCCGGCTAACAGCAGGAAATTCATACACAAGTAGGATAAAACATAACAGCATCGTAATACATTAATACATAAAATACATTAAAATACAGATCATATAATTACAAAAAGCCAGGTCGTCAAAGTAGGCCCATTTTATTAAGAAGGATTCCCAACCTTTGGCTGGCCAGCTCTTTGGGACTTCAACTCCCAGAAGGCCCAGCCAGCTTGACCAAGTGTCATGAAGGCCAAAGGCCAAAGGGGTCACGATTGGCATCCTTTTCTTTCTAAAATTGCGTTAAAAGTCGATTTCTTTCTGAAATCGACATTTCTCTCAGCCATAAGATTGTTTCATGAGGATGTGTTGTGACTGTGTTGTTTTTATTTGATGGATTTTAATGTGATCTGTATAATCTTGGGCTTGTCCCCTTGTAAGCCGTCCCGAGTCCCCTTGGGGAGATGGTGGCGGGGTATAAACATAAAGTAATCATAATCATCATCATAATTCAAAGCAATGGCAGGGCTGCTTCCTGCTTCCAAAAGGAACCGGATGGGAATGGTGCTTCTGACGCAGGGATGGGACGAGATGGGGCGCCTTTGGGGGATGTCGGAAGGGAAAAAGCCAGCCTCGGGGGCCCTGGTTGGGTGACCAAGGCCAGGCCGGGCGCCACTGCCCTCCTCGGCCTCTGCTTTCCTTTTCCCAGCCTGTCTCTGCACCAGGAATCACGTGAGGAAGCGGAGAGGAGGGGGGGGGGGCAGAGAGAGAGAGAGAGAGGCAGCCAGCCGGGGACTCCCTCCCATAGAGATAGGGAAAGGTCGTCCCCAGCAGTCAGGTGACTGGCGTTGCTGCTGCTGCTGCTGCTGCTGCTGCTGCCCGGTGGCTCCTCCCGCCAGGCCAAAGCCGAGGCCCCCCCTTCCTCTTCCCTTCCCTTCCTGGAAGCCCCCCTTTTCCCCCTCCTTCCCTCCCTCCCGCTTCTGCGCCATGGAGGTGTTCATCCCATCGTTCCGCTACGAGGAGAGCGAGTTGGAGAGGGGCTACACGGTGAGTGAGTGAGTGGTGGGCAAGGGAAGGCGAGCCCTCCTCCCTTCTCTCTCTCTCTCCCTTCCTTCCTTTCTTCCTCTTCCTTCCTCCCTTTGGAAGGAAGGAAATGGTTCAGCCCGGCGCGGGGAGGCGCCAAGTCCTTGCCCACTCGGGAATGAATGCAGTTGCCTTGCCCTGACTCAAGGCTATGGAAGCAATGCTGGGAGTTGTCGCTTCCCACCCTATCTTTCACTTTCTTCGCCAAAGAGTGCAGGAGTGTCATAACCATGTGTTACTGAATTATGGCAACCTCTGTGCAGACTGCCAGTCCATGGGCAACTGGGAGGAAATACACATGGCAGGAAACGGGGAGCTTTCCAGGGTCACAGAGCATTGAGCCATGGCTTATTAGGGGACAAGGGAGATGGCCTTCTCTGTGGTGGCCCCTCGGCTCTGGAACTCGCTCCCCAGAGAAATTAGGCAAGCCCCCACCCTGGCAGCAGAATCATACAGTTGGAAGAGACTTCATGGGCCATCCAGTCCAACCCCCTACCAAGAAGCAGGAAAATTGCATTCAAAGCACCCCCGACAGATGGCCATCCAGTCTCAGTTTAAAAGCTTCCGAAGAAGGAGCCTCCACCACACTCCAGGGCAGAGAGTTCCACTGCTGAACGGCTCTCACAGTCAGGAAGTTCTTCTTCATGTTCAGATGGAATCTCCTTTCTTGTAGTTTGAAGCCATTGTTCCGTGTCCTTGTCTCCAGGAAGAGCTTGAAAACTTGGCTGTTCCAGTGTGCCTTCAATAAATGAATGAACAATAAACCCCTGACTTGACCAAACCCTGCATAAAATGCCCTTGGAAGCACTTTATTTTATCTGTTAGTGCAATTAAACCCTACTTCGTCCCGCGGATCCCATCCAGATACATTACATTGCTCTCTCACCCATTGTTTTTAAACTTTTAATATCTGCAACTGGCCCTGCCCACTGAGATCAACTTTCTGTGTTCAAATATTGTGATTTTATATTGTTCTGATCAGTTTATTTATACTGTTTCTTGTATTTTATTTTATTTTATTTTATTGTTATTATGTACTATATTTATATTCCACCCTTCTCACTCCACAGAGGACTCAGGGTGGATTACAATGCACATATACATGGCAAACATCCAATGCCATTAGACATACAATATACATAGACAGACACAGAGACAATTTAGCCATCCAGCTTTCCGGCTTCATGAGGGTATGCTCGATTCTGGCCACAGGGGGAGCTTCCGCTTCACTGTCCACTTGTGACATCGAGTCCTTGATGGAGAACTTCTTCATTCTTATGCATGCTGCTGGAAAGTTTTTTTATGGTGTTATAAATTAGTTAAATTAGCCTCCCCGCATAAAGCAGTACCTAAATATCCTACTTGATAGATGCAACTGTCTTTCGGGCTCATAGGTCGACAGCAAGTTAGACTATTAATGGTTGGAAGCTCACTCTGGCCCGGGCTGGCTTTGAACTCATTACCTCTTGATCAGTAGTGATTTAATGCAGCTGGCTACTAACTAGCTGCGCCACAGCCCGATCCTTAAGTACCTGAGAGGGAAAAAGGAAGGGGTCTGAGGCTGTTAGAAATTGTGGGAGTTGAAGTCCAAAACACCTGGAGGGCCTGAGTTTGCCCATGCCTGTTCAAGCTGCAGTGTAGTTCAGAATCCTAGGTCAGGAGCCAAGGAGAACGGAGAGCCACAGGCTTTCTCTTCCTCTCATTGTGAAGGGTGGAGAGGAACAAGTGGATTTTGGGTGCCATGGAGTGTGGTGGTGGGCCAGGGAACTGGGCACTGAGGAAACAGGGTGCCAAGGCACAGGGCAGACCACAGCAGAGTCTGTTAGGCATCTTAGGTCAGTTTTGTGTTCTGAGGGTTGAATGAATGCAGTTTGAAACAACTTTAGCTGCCGTGATTCAGTGCTATGGAATCAAGAGATTTTTAGTTTGGTGAGGCATCAAGACTCCTTGGCAGAGAAGGCAAAATACCTTGTTAAACTTCAACTTCCATTACTCCATACATTGAGCCCCAATGTTGGAGCCTCTGCCAAACTGCAGTCTTCAGGATTCCCTAGCATTGAGCTGGGGGGGGGGGGACAGTGAGAGCACTACATTGAGACACAGCAGTTAAAGTGGGTTCAAACATTATTAATTCTGCAATGTAGATCAGGGGTTCTTAAACCTTTTAAGCAGAGTGCCAGTTCATGGTCCATTGGACTGCTGGGAGAATAATACAGTATGAAAGATGAACAACAATTTTAACCAACTTAAACCAGTATTTCAATGGGAAGTGTGGGCCTGCTTTGGACTGATGAAATAGTCAAGTAAATTAGGATAGTTGTTGTTGTGTGCCTTCAAGTTGTTTGGTAGGTTTGCCAATAACCTCAAGGCATGACAGTCTCTCGGCCTATCTGGAGTTCTGTACAAAATGTATTGAGCAGGTGCAAACCATTCTTGGAGTCAGTGCTTCTGCCCTTGTCAGGACACTGCCTAGCTATGCTGAATGAAACCTGGATAGGTTTTATTGGCATTGGCTATCTATGGTTGGAGTTCAGCAGTGTCATAGTTTGAGCATTAAATGGCCCCTTCCAGACAGGCCCTGTATCCTGGGATTTGATCCCAGGTTTTCTGTTTATCCCAGATTATCTGGCAGTGCGGACTCATATAATCCAGTTTAAAGCAGAAAATCTGGGATCAGTTCCTGGGATATAGGGCCTGTCTGGAAGGGCCCTATGACTCTGGAGACCAGGGTTCAAACTCATAGACTGCTCTCCTCAAAGAATAACAATGGTAAACCAATTCAGAGCAAATCTTGCAAAAACAGAAAAACACGATAAGATTTACTTTAGGATCACCATAAGTTGAAAACAATTTGAAGGCACATATCAAAAAGAATCTGAACTTTGCATAAACACCATAAAGGCACATCCTGTTTGATCTGAGAAGCCAGGAAGAGTCAGTTCTAGTTATTACTTGGATAGAATATTACCAAAGAATGCCAGATGCTGTAGGTTATATTTACAAGGAAGGAACTGGCAAAACCAACCATGATTCCTTGTCTAGGAAACCCTTATGAAATTAATAAGCCTCTTTTAAGAAATTGCTGTTTATTGCATGTGAAGAACTGATAGAGTTTATCAAAATAGAGTACTTACGGTAGATAAGTATGTACATTTGTTTTAAAATGTATAGTTGACTGGAAATTCTGCTATTATACAACACCTTCTGGTTGACAAAATCTCAGTCTTCCAAAGTGATCTGCTGGTTTATTCTACTTGGAGAACTAAGAAAGCAGATAGCAACTAAGTCACACATAGTTAACTCTTAAAGGTAGGTGAGATTGTTTGGCTACACCAGTAGTTCTCAGCCTGTGATTCCCCAGGTGTTTTGGCATACAATTCCCAGAAATCCCAGCCAGTTTGCCAGCTGTTAGGATTTCTGGGAGTTGAAGGCCAAAACATCTGGAGACCCACAGGTTGAGAACCACCGGGCTAGACTGAGATTAGCTTCTGACAAGCAGCTAAGAAAGCCAGCACAGAGTAATATTTTGAGTGTTGGACTAAGGGCGCATCTACACCCGTGGTTCTCAACTTGTGGGTCCCCAGGTGTTTTGGCCTACAGCTCCCAGAAATCCCAGCTGGTTTACCAGCTGTTAGATTTCTGGGAGTTGAAGGTGAAAACTTCTGGGGGCCCACAGGTTGAGAACCATTGATCTACACTGTAGAATTAATGCAGTTTGACACCACATAAACTGCCATTGATCAATGTTTTGGAACGCTAGGTTTTGTAGTATGGTATGGCATAAGTAAACTTGGGCAGAGAAGGCTAAAGACTTTGCAAAACTACAACTCCCATGATGCCATAGCACTGAGTCATGGTCATTAAAATGGTGTCAAATTGCATTAAGTCTTATTTATTTATTAATTTAAAATATTTCTTTTCCGTGTTCTCATCCTGAAGGGGACTCAGGGCGGAGCACAGCATATATACAGAAAGCTTTCCATGCTGGAACATAAAATAACTATAAATATACACAAACACTAAAAACAGTTCCATCTACTTTAAATCAGTTGTTTTAGACCATCTCAATTCTACAGTGTAGATGCACCCATTGATGTTTGAAGGAAAAGCATTGAGTTGATCTTGGGCAAGCCACTTTCTTTCAACCTTAAAGGAGGGAAATAGCAAGCCTCCTCTGAGTAAATCTTGGTAAGAAAACCCTGTGATACAGTTGCGGTAAATCCGTCTGATACCACATAACAACACAATGAATACTTTATTTAATATCCAACTAGAATAGAATAAGTATGTATCTATTTGAAATACATTTGTAAAGCAAAGTTGGTTGTTAAAAGAATTTTAAAAACCCCTAGAACAAGGATGGAGAGCCATTTGGCTTCACCTAGCCTCACCTAGCATAGCCACTGGCAAGGGATTATGAGAGTTGGTCCAAACTGTCAGGAATGTTCAAAATACCCCATTTTGGTTCAGATGTAATATCATTCCTAAGTTGCATGTTGTTTCTATGGAGTGGGAAAGAAAGTAATAAAAATAACACAGCTAACTCCCCGTATTCCAACATATTCCATCCATGTTGAAATGACTATTCCAAATAATTAATGACATTCAACACAAGTTATATTATTTTAAATTCCACAACAAAATAAAGATTTATCTTTCTGTTAGTCTAAGTGCTGCTTTACACAACTTATCCAGAAACAGTAATTGCTTGTTTTTGTGCATTCCTCAGTTCCTTGTATAATGTGTGAGTTAATACGTAGACTTAATTGCCATGGAGTCCAAACTGTACCTTTCCTGAATATGAAGTGATGAATCATGCCACTAGTATGGCAAAGATACAGACATTCAGCGCTTGGTATACCAGTATACCAGTAGTAATCCAGTATACCAGTAGTAATCTTTTAAAGAGAAGTTCCAGTCATGGGAGCCTCATTGTGGTGACCAGACACAGATTTATCCAGCCT